AGAGGTCCCGCCCCTTACTATCTCTGATTGGTTTAGTCCACGATAAGGGCATAATGTGTGTCTGTTGTTGACCACAGGGAAGGTGGTGGGGTTTTTTTGCTACCCGAACAGTTGGTCGCACAGGTGCAACCAAATGGGTTATTTTAGTCGCACCACTGAAATATTTGGTCGCATTTGCGACCAGATTGGTCGCACTCTAGAGCCCTGCCTTGTAAGATGCTAAGCTATGGCAGAGCTTAGCTCATGTTAAGTTACAACCAACAGTTCGTTAACTTATGTTAGCATTATAAGAAACAGTAATGACCTGCCTAATGACCACTAATCTCTCTAAATAACATTTGAAATCCCATTTGGTTAATGTATATCCCCTGACTGCACTCTGTGTGAGAAGCTAATCTGGCATAGTTTTGGAAGGCTGGTTTTGCTTAATACTAATTACTACTATCTGTTACAAATGATATATATGAAAATGTTATTGATCAAATGTAAAAATGTTTCTGGCAAGGATCCTTTTCTTTTTACACTTTGGCCTGTGCAGATAAAACAAATAAGAAACAGCTGGCTTCAGTGAGATTGGTATCTGTCCATCTTACTTAACTCTGGGCAGTGTTGCCAACTCCTCAGTATTGAAAATCGCTATTGGCTGTCCTAAAAGTCGCTAGAAGTGACTAAAATTTGCATAATTGGTCATGCTAATGTGATTGTAACCTACATTGTTGGAGAGAGGAATAACATCGTGGAAGAGACATAAAGTGAATAAAAAAAACGTCCTAAATGCATTTAGTTTATTTAGAACTACAAATTAAATTTCTTTTAGCAATTTTTGTGCTTTTTTTAATGTCACAATTCCAACCCTGCTCCTTTACCCGGGCTTGGACCGGCAAAAGTGACCCGAAATAGGCACTCTGGTGGAGTTACTTTGTGTGTGTGTTTTCCGTAAGTTTTAAACCTTGTGATCCACAAAACAGCATAAGAGTAAAAGAAGAACTGACTGCGTTACAGTCAGTGTGGGAGCAGCGGCTTCGCTCATGCGCGATTCATTTGCACTTTGGACGCATAGGTGTGAACATCTTCTACCCTGATAGCAGCTGGGGGAGGACTATCCTCCACCCGTGAGCACTGTGGAACGGGCGAGGTGCCCACGGCAGCACCCGCTGCTTGTTGAGAGTAAAAGCGATTTTCCCTTTTCACGTCAAAAGTCGTCATAAATAAGTCTCCAATAACACCAGAAAAAGTCGCCAGATTTGCTAGTCGATTTTTAGAAAAAAAGTCGCTAAGGGGGTCTGAAAACTTGCTAAATATATAAATATATCGCTAAGTTGCCAACACTGACTCTGGGGGGGAGACAATTTGTCAACCTGCTCCTTTAAAAAAATGGTTCATGACAAAGCAGTTATGTTACCATAAGTTAATGATTAACATTAAACAAAACAAGCCACATGAGGAGACACTAAAAAACAAATCCTGGGAATGTTCCACTTTAGTACATAATTTAAACTAGTCATGTCATTTAAATACAATATGGCTTTTGGCGAGGGGAAAGAAATGTACAAATAGGCTAAGCGCTTTGCGGTGTAGTTTTCATGCTCCTGGCTTTTTCTGACTCTTTAAAGGAGGAAACTAAACAAACAGAGCTTATCTCACATGTTTGTATATCAGTGGTTTGCAAACATGGCAGGTGCATCATTGATCTCAGCTGGGGGTAGTGATAAAGAACCAGGCAAATGCTGCTAGAAAATTCTCCATTCTTACACGCTGCAAACTGATTGCTGTGCTGTACCTATGTGAAAGTAAAGTAGTTTATAACATACTATGCTGATGACTAACAGCTGTTTTTATCTATAACTTCTTCTTTATGTTTTGTTAGGAAAATGGGAAAACGGTAGAGCAGTTTCTTGAAACATGTATGGAAATATAATGAATGGTAAATGGCCTGCATTTGTATAGCGCTTTTCTAGTCCCTAAGGACCCCAAAGCGCTTTACACTACATTCATTCACCCATTCACACACACATTCACACACTGGCAACGCCAAGCTACATTGTAGCCACAGCTGCCCTGGGGCGCACTGACAGAGGCGAGGCTGCCGGACACTGGCGCCACCGGGCCCTCTGACCACCACCAGTAGGCAAACACGGGGTTAGTATCTTGCCCAAGGATATTTGGCATGCAGCCAGGAGGCAGCCTGGGATCGAACCACCGACCTTCTGATTAGTGGCTGACCTGCTCTGCCACCTAAGCTACAGCCACCCCAAATATAATGAGCTTAAATTTTTTATGACGATCTTTATTCTTCAAACCACCTGAAATCTCTTAGGTAAAGTCTTTACGTAGTCTCCAGGGATAGTTCTCCAGGCTTCTTGAAGGACATTCAAAGCTCTTATTTGGATGTTGGTTGCCTTTAGATGAGCTCACACTGCTCTAAATCACTGATAGTGCTCCATTGTGTTTTTCTGTCCAGGTTTGGTTTTACAGCATTGACATTTTTGGGATCATTGTCACGCTGAAAAATGAATGGATCTTGAATGGATGAGAGTTGAAAATCTGATTGTATATTTCTATATTTCTTCATAATCACATTTACAGTTTTGACAGGATCTCCACCACCAAGGCTTGAAATCTAGCCCCAAACCATGACTGAGCCTCCACCATGTTTTACAGATGGCTGTAGACACTCATTGTTGGACCTCTCTCCTGGTGTTCTCTTTCATAATAACTACAGTTTGCATTTTGACACAATTTGAACCCAAAATTTCTCCATCAGACCTGTTGCCAGTGATTTTTAGACCAGGTTTTGTTTAACATTGAATACCTCACCCTTTTTTCCCAGTTTCTCTTCCTTAAGAAGGTCTTCTTGACGGTCACCCTTCCACTGTGACCATTTCTGATGAGGCTTCAGTGAACATTAAATGATCAACTGAAAGACCAGGTGGATCTCTCAGGTCCTGTATACAGGACATCTGTTTCAGATACTGTCCTGTTGTAGATTTGTTTTAACACATTAATTTGATAAACAGTCTATGTTGTGGAATCTGTGCATACAATGGTACTTAATGGTTTGTCGTACTTTTGCACATTTACCAAGGAAAATCAGTTTGATGTGTTATTACACAACCTGTTATTGCTTAATCCTTCAAATCCCAACAACATCAGTGCGTCATTGTGTTGTTGTTTCTTCTCATATCGATCTAAATTGCCTCTGCGTAGGTGACTACGTGCTCGTGGTAAATAGCGACTGGCAGCACCTTCATTGTTTAATCTTTAAATCTGACCTTCTTTCAAGTATCAAGTTTTAATTTTTTTAAATACATTTTGTATTAAAACACTATCATAACATATAAAACCAGCCATGAAAATTATGTTTTCAGTTCATGAAAAGCATTTTTGTGAAGAAAATGTTTTCTTTGTTTAATTTAATTTTCCACATTTTTGTGGGTGGAGATGTGGCTGTGTTGACTCTGATCAATACCAAGTATGTGCCAAATGCTTGTCTCAAATGCAGCTGTAAACATCAGGATCCCCTTTGAGCCTATGAGCTCCCACTCTGCCGATCCTCCCCCTGCTCCACCCCTCATCCTCCCACTGCCCTTAACGTTTCAGTAAAACACGCCAAACGACCCCCAAACTATCAACAGACCCCATTCTTGCCCAGCTGTGATGTAACACATGCTGAGTCCGCTCACATGCTTTAAAGTAAATGATGCTGTAAAAAACAAGGCTTCAAGAGTTTGTGCTCCAGGACTTCATTTTTCTCTCCTGTTGTGTGTGTGTGTGTGTGTGTGTGTGTGTGTGTGTGTGTGTGTGTGTGTGTGTGTGTGTGTGTGTGTGTGT